CTTTCTCATATATATATATATTGGTTAAGTAAAATGATATGTCTAAGTCGGGATAAGACTAAACCATAAGAACATGTTTAATTTAAAAGATGTCATAACAATAGAGCATGATTAGACCCTTCCATTTTTCACATCATGTATTTAATTTTATTAAGAAAATTCTTAGATGTTGTATTAGCAAAGGATTCTAACTAATGATCATTTCAAGTCTAAGGGCACGTTCTAACCTAAATAGATTATAAGCACTTAAGATGATTAAAGTGGCAATGAACAAGAACAAAGGGATCTTAATACCCATATCTTATTCCATTTTATTTTGCATGTAGAATTAAGACTAAGTTGCACCTATACAAAACTCAACAATTTTATTAATATGATTATATTATCAGACCTAGCTACACCCGATCTTTTATTTATTCTTTTATTATTCTTTTCTTCATTTTGTTTATTATTGTTAGATTAAATATTGTTAAAATTTCATTTTTTTTAAATTGCTTGTAGTTATGTCTGAAAAATATATATTGCAATAGGCTCATAAGAAAAATATTATTAATTACTTTAAAAAATTAATAATTAACCTCAAAATTCAATTAAGATAATATTTTCTTAAAATTAAATATTTTTCACTTTAAAACTCAATTTTAAATTAAAAATTATTTTCTTTGTACCTCTTCAAGAAGGTATAAAGTAATGCTTATCAACATTAAACCTCAATTAACACATATTTAAAATAAGAACTATCTCGATACATTTAGGGTTTGTTTGGGACACCTGTAGCTTATCACTAATCTACTGGTAAGTAGCTGATCAGCAGCTTATCTGGATAAGATGACTGGTTGTTTAGTTTGTGCGTTTGTAAAATAGTTTATCTGCGGCTGTTCCTACATAAATGACCATTTTAACCCTGTGAAGTAGTGTTGTTTGCAACAGAAATGTAATAACTATGTATTTGATAGTTTAAAAGCAAAAAAACCTAACAATAAAACTACATATTTAAATTCACAGCTCTATTCCTCTTAAATAAAATCTCTTCAACCATAAACAACAACTAAATCACACTAATATTACAGAAGATGAAGATACCAAAATACATATTTTTTAATGAAACCAAGAGCATTATAAAGCTACCATTTTTTGCTTAGACTAACTTCAAAGTTCTGCTCCATCAAAATTATCCCGTGTCTTCCACTTGCTCATAAATCTTCTATACAAGTGAGTTAATGTATTTGCAAAAAAAATTACTTCATTGATAATGAAAAAATTATTTCAGTAAAAAAAAGAATTAAAATCAAAGCTCTAGTTAGAAAGCCCTAACTCTAATTCGATTTCCACATGAAAACATTCAATCAATCATATCCCACCTACCGCCTGATGTAAAATCAAAAGAATGATTACTCGTAGTAGCGATCAATCTTCCTCCTAACCCAATCGTTCAACGCCTCCTCAACGGTCTTGGTGTTGTTTTGGGACTTTTTGGTAGGATCGTACCCAAACTTCTTTGACTCCATGGGGAAGAGCTCCTCATACTTCATCTTCTTTGCAGTGTAGTTTGTGTACACTTCAGCTCCAAACCGCCACCGCAACATCCTTAGCTTCTCTAGCACCTCTGCCACCATCGTTGTTGACGACATCCATGGTGTCCTTCACTTCCTTGTGCTTCTTCTTATTGATAGATTTGACCACTGCAAGCTTGCCGCCCTTGAATGCGAGCCTCCCTGCCTTCACCTTCTTGTATGATTCCGACGTCTCGCTACTGACGTGAGAGAGGCAAGAGCGAGGGAGGCGAGAGCGAGAGAGATCGACACTATGACTCAAATCGACGGCAGAGGGGTAAAACACGAGCAAACGAAAGCAGGCCTTGGGGTCGTTCCCGCGGCAGCGTTTATTAATAATAAAAATGACGTTTCATGAAACGCATTAGGGATGCATTTACCAAACGAAATAGTGAAAATGCCGCCCACAATTTTAATCTGCCTTGAACGGACACTTATTCTACATCCATTATGTTAAGAAAAAATAATTATGCATTCAAAACATGTCCTCTAAGGTAATGTTTATAACTTGGTGATATGATTTTATCAAATATGATTATGTGGATGTATAACATGTTAAATAATAGCAATCTTTATCTTAATAGATTACAAGTCTAGTTAAAAATATCATGCTCTATATAATTTTGCTATCCTATTCTTTTCTTTCTATAAGCATTTTTACACATCCATAAATTACAAATTATGCATCCATTTGATTTACACCCCATAAATTAATTGTTTAAGCACTTGATCATTCTTTTTTTTTTAATTTGAGAGCTCAAAATTTTTATTGTTGATGCAATTCATAGTTATTAACATGGAATCTTATGCCAAGTCTCGTTCGACAGTCTTCACGACCAAGTAAAACTTGGATTAAGGGTCTATCAAGTCATGTAACTTTATATTTTATAAAAACATTTATTTATATCCATCACCTCTCAAAGTTCTTTGATTCCCTTTGAATTTTTGTGAATTAAATAATTGTCATTACATATATTTTTTAAGAAAAGTTATACTTACTGTATTTATTTATAATGATTCAATTTTTTACCTTACAGATTGACTTCCAAAGCATATAATTTTTATTCAAATATTGATTCTTAATCATGATTAATTCTTAATATTTATTTAGTCAATTCATAATCTGAAATTGTGTTGAAGAAGACTTCAAATATAATTAACTTCACAAAATTGAGAGTTCAATTCATATTCTCCACTACATGTTAAGTTAACTTTGATCACATACATACATTCTCATATGTATTTTACATTAGAAGATATAAATATTATTAGTGATATCTTAGTTGACATGTCCCTTTGTCTCATACTATAGAATTTTCTATACATAAAAGATACACTAACATGATCCTATTTTTTTTACTACATTAAAAATTTGACTCTTGCACTAAGGAATGACCATATACTTAACTTTATTTATCCTAGATGTTTGAATATGAGTAGTTCAAGCCATTATCTATGTTGCATCCATATAAACATACTTAGTTTTGTTATTCAAATTTGACTATGTTAATACCTTAGTTGATCCTTTAGCTCTCTTTAGAGATGTTTCATGCCTTGCCTTCCAATGTCCTTTGATCAATTCATGAATGAACAATGTTCAAAGCATTTCGAAACATGAACGAGCCATGTTAATATCTTTTAAATCATCTTTGAATCATAATCACATATTATGTGAACTATGTGTAAACATTATTGGAGTTTTATTTGAAAGTTTGGGTAAAGTTTGAAGATGATTGAATCATATTTTAAAGGTGGGTTGAAATTGTTCAGAGAAGATTTGATCACGATTCACATATGATTTGATCATATATTTAATTATATTTTCATCATAGTCTAAGATAGCTCAACGACGATTCTAACAACTTTATAGCAAGTACTATGACGATCAATAATATTTTGGGCTTAATGTCTATTGTACAAACAAGTCATTCCGAATTAACTTACCAACTATACAACATTATCTTGAATAAATGATAAAATGAGGGGCAATTGTCAAAACACGCTCTGCAATCGTTTAAAATAGAGAAGGTGCATTGAACAAAAAGAGAAGGAGATTTTACGCAGTTGACATATCACACAAGTATTCAACTAGACTTCAACTACTATTACTAATAGTTAAAGAAATTTTTGATGTAAAAAATATGGGATATTTATTAAAATTTTAAAGTAATAATAAATATATTTCTTTAATTCTGATTATTAGGATACATGTATAGTCAAATGCCTGCATCAAATTTTTTCACTAATTCGGCAAAGGCAGAATGAAATTCCGGGTCTAAGACATTTAAGGCCCAATAAAAATGGAGATAATATTTTGTACATATTCTGGATATATTAAATGTTCATATATAATATTATTATACAATGTTATCAAATATTATTGTACACGAAATTTGAATATTCAAATGTATTCAGAGTGCACTTAGAAATTTTTTTTTTTTTTTGCCAATGCAAGGACACATGGGCTTGTCGGTGGCTGGTGGTGATCTACGGTGGTCGGTGGTGATGAACGACGACCGGCGGTGGTCGACGACAGCTGGCTTCGATCGATGATGACTGAGTTGATGCTGAACTTTAACTCTTTCTCAAAGCTTCAAGTTTTCCTCAAGTCTCAAGCTTCCTCCACCTTTCTCACGTGAGAGGTGCGACTCTATTTATAATGTTCTGGGTGCACTTAATGTAGTAATGTGAATCACTGTGATTAGACTGTTTAGATAGGTCACTTCAATCAAACGATTTACATGGCATGAAAAGACGTTAAACCATGACTTATGGTTTGATGAAGCATCATTTTAGGAGGGATGCCAGTCCCAAAAAATGATATTTTTTCGCAATTGTAAAAGGTCGACGCTCAACCACAGTAATCAAATCTATCAAACGTGTGCCATGGCGGCGGTTGAAAGTCCGCACGTACCATACGCGATCACGTTTTACATGGAATTCAGGAGAGGATCGCCGCATCCGTCAATGTGACGAGCGCCAAATTTTCATCTGCTTACCCCAGCTCCACTCAAAAGGCAATCCAAACCCTAGTAAGGTTTCACAATTCATCCCATTTCGTTCGTGTACGTTATATTGTCGCTCTCTTTCTTCCAGATATTTAATTGTTATTTCGGATTGAAAGAGTGGGTGGTTTTCCAATCGACAACCAGAGAGCTTTCATCTTTCCCGGAAACGATTCTTTGATCAATTCTTTGAAGCAACGTCAGGGCCAACTTTGTGGTTGCTTCTACGGGGTTGAGAATGGACGGTGCTGTTAGCTGGGATGCCCTTGAGTGGACCAAAAATGAGGTCCAATCCCAAACCAATCTATTGTCTTTTATTAATCAGGGCTTTTTAGTTTTTTCGTCGTTCTTGTTTAGCGAGAGTTCACTCTAGGATCATGATTCTGCATGTGTCTGGGGATTGCAGTCGGTGTCCAGGTCAGCGACCCATGGGATGGCTGAGTTCTTGCTGGAAGCCGAAGAGGTCGTTGCGCAGGTAGCACACTTATCTTTTACTTTTTTCTATCTTCAATTATATCATCCGTCTGGTTACCGTTTTAGTTTGTACTCTTTCAATGCCGTTTATGATATTTAGTCGGGAAAAGATCTTCGTAACAAATTTATTTTATAAATAGCTTGTATTTGCACATAATTTGATCTGCAATGGTAGAAATTGCCTTCAATATTCTGTTGAGTGATCTGAATACTTGAAGATTCATGAGCCGCGTGAAAATATAGGTTTGGTGCTATTCATAAATGATGTGATTGCTCAAGCATTGAATGCAACTAGGTAATGGAAATGGAATATGCCTTTGAGGAGCATGCATTTTGGATCAAAAAGGTGGATGTAACTTTATCTTAGAACGCCATGCAATGTTATCAACTCCGCTCTAGCATAATTTCTATGATATGCTAGGTCTTTTTAGGCACAGGAACACTTTTATATCATTCCCATGTAATCATTAGAGTACTTTCCAAATATATGGCATGTAGTATATGATTGTTTGATTCTGCACAATTTTTTTCCCCCAATCTTGAATTTTTTGTAGTTACATATTTAAGTGTATCATTTACTTTTTTTACCCATTGGAATTTCGTATTTGAAATCGTGGCTAGAGTTATTTGTTAAAAAAATAAGTTTGATATATGACTTAGGCACCCAAAGGTATATTGTACTTGGATTAGATATGAGTAGGGGTGTAAATGAGCTGAGCTTGAGTGAACCCAATGTTTGTTCGTATTTGGCCAGATCGATTTTTTTTGCTTGAAATGAGCTCATGTTCGAAATTGCTCGTGAACAAGATGTTTGTGTTTGACTTGGTACGTTTGAAATATGTTGAAAGAGGCTCGTGTTTGGCTTGATGAAACCAGTAAGTCTATTTTCACGCATAGCTATAAATTTTTAGAGGTCCTTTGAACATTTAAACAAACCTGAAAAATGAATTCTTCCCGTCTTCCCGATGTGGGGTTAAATGAAGAAGGCGGAGGCGGCTAGGAGGGGTATGGGGGCTTGAAAAAACCAAAAAATTTTGGTAGAAGTGGAACCGAAGGTTAGTATAAGCTCGACTTGGAAAAAGATAATTTTTAGAGCCATTGACATACATACCACCCGATTCTAATGTGGGAGAGACAACGGGGCTGGGGCTGGATTTTAGAAAATTTTGATGGGCATTTACCTACATACAACCCAGTTTTTATGTTTTACATATCTAACCTAAATAAAGAAAACATATAGGCGGGATTTGTAAAAATTCTAGGGGCATTTGCACACATTCCGCCCAATCTGATGTATTTACATATTTAACATCTAAAATTGGTTTTTTATATTTATACTAATTAAGTTTTTGATATCATATGAAATATATCATTATTTTAACTTCTATATATTATTTATTTATTATTTAAATAATTCAAGCCAAAACGAGTCAAACACGATCAAATAAAAGTTTGTTCGTATTCGGCTCGTTTATAAATCGAGGTAAAAAATTTTGTTTGTGTTTAGCTCATTCACTTAGTGAATGAATTGAACACGAGCTACTTAATGAGCATTAGACGAAACACGTGCTATTCACGAATGATGAGCTTTTTGACAGCTCTAGATTTGAGATCCCAAAGAAAGAGGATTTGGTTGGCTTTGCAAATGACTTGATGCAGCTTTCTTCATCAAATCATTACAAGAAATGTGGGAAATGAAAGATTAGTTTCAGTCTACTGTACCCTTAGGAACTGCAATAAGTAGTTGACAAGTTTCACAATTTTTTTCAATCCAAATGCACTTTAAATAATTATCATTAGAATTTATAGGCTTGATGTTAAAGTTATCTTTTTTTTTCTAGGGGCATTTTAATGAAAAAATAAAATAAACAGTGAGCAACATGTATTTCCTCAAATTTCTCATGCATTTTTGAAGCATGATTTGCTAAATTGCAAAACAAAATCATGGCGATATAAAATGAAAAGATTAAATGATATGCTTATAAATTTGTAACGCAGCATCCAATTTTATACTGCCACCTTTAGAACTAATTTCAATTGATTAATATAGTGAAGGGAAATAAACTCATCACATACCATTTTATGTCAAAGAATTGTTATATTTATTGCTCTAGAATAGAAACTTCAGAAGCAATGATTGTTATGCATTTTGCAAATAAAGAGAAAAAAATTAAAGTAAAAGATGAAGTGGTTTTTGACCAAGTATATAAAATCACCATAAATGGTAAAAGCTGGTAGTGCTATAATTCTGCCTGTGAATCACAAAGAGGAAGTATTGGTGAAAAGATGAAAATCAATGTTTTAAAAGCGCGCTTCACGTGCAAAGCAAAGCGCATGACACCTAGTTTGCTTCATTGAAGCACACTTTGAAGCACTAAAGCAGTGCAGTCGGGTTGGTTCACAATTTAGCAAGAGGTATTAAACAACTATTGAATTAATTTAGCTTGTTTTATGAAACTTGAGACTCTATTAGTTTATTTATGTTTTAACATTTAGATTTTGTTTTGAGCTATAAGATTTTATTTTGCAATTTTTAAGTTCTTAATTATTGAAGTAAATTATTAAAAATTGTTCGAAATTTTAACGTGCAGGTTCACCTCAATGTTTGCTTTCAAGTTATGCATTATATCACATTCTTTTCTATTTTATATCAATTTAGTCATACTTTATATTTTATTATTGTTAATGAATGTATTTATATATTAATATATTTATATAATTTATTAGCGCTATAGTTAGTAAAAGTGCCGTTCGCTCTCGCTTTGCGCTTTGAAGCAAAAATAAAGCCTTGTGTATGGCATTGCGTTTTGCGTTTTGATAACACTAATGCAAGTAACATTTCTAATTCCTACATAAAAAATGAGTATAAGTTTCTAACATGAATTACTATTGTATATCTTCTATAGAGATAGCAACTTGTTGTAGTTACATAACGAAGAAAATATTCAGCTACAATGACCAATTATAGAAAACTAATATTTTTAAAGATGAATTACGAAACAATGGAAATCAATAAATTCTAGAATGAAATAATCATTTGTCATTTGGTACAACTGGCAGAATTTTATTTGGCTGAGCTAAGCCAATAAGAAAACCAAAATCTTTCCATAGAAAAGTTTGTGAACAAGGTGAGTGAGATGAAAAGAGAAAAAAAGCTATTCGAATCTAAATTATTACAACTTATTAGATTTAAATAACTAAAAAATTACAATTAATCAATTATAAGAAGATGATTTTGTGTCTAAATTAAAGACAATGAAAGGTAGAGGAATCTATGGCTTTATGTAGAAAGTACAAAGAGAGGGCCGTTGTAGATTTTGGAAGAAGTTGAGGGGAGTTTTTAAAGGAGGATGGCATTATTATTTTGGGAAAAAGGCTTTCACCGTTTGTAGTCGGCAATGTGAGAAAATGGCTAGCGTTTTTTGCCTCATGGTCAAGGAGAACTGAAAACCACTATTTGCATTGATGTGAGGGTGCCTAGGCCCTCGTGGGCGTGGCAAGTGCCCTTTCGCTTGGACCGAACCAGTCTAGGCTTTCTCTCTTCCAAGGAGTCTCGTGGGTCACTCCTAGTCATCCTCTTATCATATATTTGTATTCCTGATGTTCTAGTTTAGTTTTTGGCTCAAAATTCTGTCGGTACAGTTGTTGGTGTCCGACATTTCCTTCTAGGGCTGTATCCGAAGACGAGAAGGTGTTTCGATTGTAACTCGATCGAGGTGGTGACCATCTTCTAAAAGCCGAGTGGTGTTCCGGCTGTTGCTCGTCTCTGTGGGAGTATTTATCCTCGACCTTCCTTGCACCTATCGCTTCGTTGTCACCCCTCTTTCTTCGTTGTAGCCGTCCAGGATAGCTGCCGTTGCTGTTCTTTTTTGTGGTTCTCTTCTTTCCAGCTAACTACGTTCCACAATCCATGCTGTCCTCCTTCCGAATCAGCCGCCAGCTCACAACATTCGAGCCTCCCCATATTCGCTCTTATTTAGCCCTCCGTACTCGCTGTCCTTGATGTCCCAACCCTTTATTGTCGCTGCCACAACACACAACTTCCCTTTTTGCTTTCTTGCTACCCAACCCGTCAAACAATCAGTTGTTTGGACTGCTGTCCCCTGCTGCTCTGCTGTTCCAGCCGCCCAAAATTGCTGCCACCCCTTTTCACAACCCGGAAACCCTTTCCTACCTTGCCGCCATCTTTCCAAGGCCTCCTGTCACCCACCACCATTACCTGGGATTCATCCTAACGCGAGTTTCTGTGCTGCGTGCATTATATTTTATCTTTCAAGTATATTTGATTGTAACCACCTATTTGTTTTCAGTAATAATATTTGATTTTCATATTGTTGTTTGGGTTAACTCCGGTAACATGCATATTATTTTTTGAGAGAAAAACTAACTTCTCTTCATATATAATAGACTTGTCGAGAGAAGAAATTATCATCACTTTACCGCCAATCACCTTCTCTATCATGAATCAGTTGTCATTGTCTTCTTCTTTATTGATGTCATCATTGATGATATTGATCACTATTTCTGATTGACATGTCACTGGTCCATCTTTGTCGCCATCACTATCACGATCACATTCATGATGGATGGTGCTACTTGTGATCATAGTCTGCAATTCATGATTGTTGCCAAAGGGGCCTCCGATCCATGTCCTTCATGAAGCTTCCCATTCTTTTTTTTTTGATGTGTCAAATGTGTATGTAGAGGGTTTATTGTCAAAAATTAGTTAATGGGATTTTGTGAAAAAGTTTAACCCCAAAGCCTTCTCTGGTATTTTATATACTTAACAGATGTTACATTGAAAAGTTGTGGAATTGTGGCTTATTGGAGATTGCTTTGGCTTAACTATCCTCTATTATCCCCTATCTATTTAGCTTGCTATTTCACACGCTAAAATGCTCCTCACCTATGTCTTGGAAGATAATGAAGTATTAAATTTCTCGCTTGCTCAGTTGATTTCTTACATGTTTTTTTTTCTTTCCTGTTTTGCTTTATTTTTCAAGATAGATTCTCTTTATATGAGCTCAAGCATCAGGTTCTCTCTTTTTCTGCTTTGTTTTTCAAGATAGATTCATTTTGTATGGCCTCAAAGCATCAGGCTGTAGGGCTCTGGATTCACCCATGTGCTTTTGACATTGTTATTTTTGCATTATAGCTGGGTACTTTATGGAAAAAATCATTTGGGGAAGGTTGAATCCCTTGCCATCTCCATGATTAAATTTTGAGGTAAAGGGTAGTTATTAACAACATGCTTCTAGAATGCTCGTGAAGTTATGTTTTTCATTCTTCCATCTTCTGATCTTTAGAAGGCGAAAGTTTTGTTTATCTAAAGTTGCAAGTAATTTATACATTCTATTGATATAATATTTTTAATTTAGATAAGGAGTATTCGTTATCACCTGGCAACATTGTTATGCCTCGGCTGAATTGCTATTTTTCTGTTTAGTTCTAGTTTTTGGAAAGTTTTTAACTTTTAGTCTGATGTGACTTGTTCTTATCATTGATAGGGTCATGGTGTTGTTCTCGTCAACACAGATCAAGCAGGCACATTGTCAGTAACAAACTTTCGCCTTCTTTTTCTGGTAAATATCAGAAAGAAATTTGTTATTACATCAATGGCTTTGTTGTTTGCATGCATTTTATTGAATGGACACTGATTTTTGTTTCTTTCCTAGAGTGAGGGTTCTCGTGATATAATTGAACTTGGCACCATAGCATTGACAACTATCGAGAAGTTTAGCAAACAAGTAAGTTTTGCGCTGCTGTGCTGGCATTTAACGACATAATATTACATACTTGCGTCAAATTGGTTTCCACACATTAATATTCAATGTTATTTTGCAAACAGTTACTGTATATGGATTTACCCGTGTAATTATTGTAAAGGTAAACTGATAATGATTTGTGCACTGTATGTGTCTTTTGACACATGGGCTTGGACTGTGTTGTTGTTATCAGATATGCTGTGTGTGGATTGCTCCGTGTCCAAACTGGAACCTTTTTTGTAGTTATTTATGAGGCCGTGTTCCTTCTTAATTGCCAACTCTAGTGAGAGTGGGGATCTCCAGAACTTTCTGGTCATGTTTGTGCTGGTTTAGTTTTTGTGTTGCACGAATTGTGAATGAATCAGTTTCAGGTTAGCAATATCCTTATCTGCCTGGTCAAGCTTCATAATCGTAATGGTTCCCATTATTTCTTTTCCATTCACCTATTAGAAATAAGAAGTAAATTAAAAAAATGGATATCAATGAATACGCATACAAGAGGCTTATTATTGGTGTTGTGGCTTTGAGTTATGCTGTTATTTAGTATGTGTATATTGATACTTTTTATGTGGGCGTTTCCTTTTTAGAAAAGGGCTGTAAACATTACTGCAAGAGTTTTGCTAGTTAGGAATTTCATTCCCATTCTTGGTATTACTCTTGGCATTAGATACTGAATTGATGGCTTTGCTTTCTAAACTATTTGAGGTCTTGTTATTGCCTACTATGGCCATATAACTACCATGAGGTCATTTGATCTTCTTGTGAATCTTCATGTATCTCGATTCATGAGATGTTATTGTCATTGAAACATTCGTGATTCTTCATTTGTCCTTTAACAACATTTTCATTGTCTAATGTAAGAGGCATTTTGTTCATTTTCTTTTGTACAGTTCTTTGCTATTTGGTTTCTAATGCTGTTTTAGGATGTGTAAAGGTTATGTTGGTTTGAACTTGTATTTTTGAAGCATTCTTTTGTATTTTTTATTCCCACACTTTGTTTAATATGCAACTATTAGAATAAAATCTAAGAAGATGATTTTTATTGATACAAAGAGGGATATAAATACCCATTACATGATATACTTGTAAGGAAAAAAATAAAAATAACATAAAGGAATAAAGTAAATAAAATAAAAGTAAATAAAGTAATTAATATAGAATTATGTATTAGTAAATATTCTGAATTCAGTAATGCTCCCTATCAAGTTGATGTCAGTCATGTTCAACTTGGATTTGAACTCATCAAATACGAGCCGGGGAATGTTCTTTGTGAGAATATCTGTCAGCTAGCCACTAAATGACACAAATGGAACACAAATTTCCCTGTACTCGATCTTTCTTTAATGAAGTGACGGTCAATCTCAACATGCTTTGTGTGATCATGCTGGACAGGGCTGTGAGCAATGCTTATGGCAGTCTTGTTATCACAAAACAACTGTAGGGGAGCGGAGTTTGTCATACATAGCTCGTGGAGCATGATGCGTAACCAGAGAGCTTCACAAATTCCCAGGGACATGGATCAAAATTCGGCTTTTGCACTGCTCTGAGCAACTACAGACTGCTTCTTACTTTTCCACGTGACTAAGTTTTCTCACACGAATGAATAGTACCCCGAGGTAGATCGCCAATCATGGATGAACCTGACCCAATCCGCATCTGTGTATACTGCAATAGAACGAGAGGTGTGGTGGAGAAAAAACAAACTTGAGCCCAATGTCCCTTTTAAATTGTGGAGAGTCTGATGGACAGTTTGGAGGTGGTGCTCATAGGGATCATGCATGAATTGACTGACGGTCCCAATTGCATGGCAGATGTCGAGGTGTGTATGGACAAGGTAGATGAATTTCACCACAATGTGCTAGTATTGAGTCTTGTTTATAGGAACTGCATTTGGAACTTTGAAAAGGTTTTTATTGGGATCCATTGGGACAATTATTAGTTTGCATATGAGAATATTGCTATTTGTCAAAAGGTCAATCACATATTTATGCTAAAACAGACAAATACCCTAAGATGATTGAACAACTTTCATGCCTACGAAGTACTGAAGAGATTTTCGAATCCTTCATTTCAAAGGAAGCCACAAGTATGCCTTTCATGACTCCAATGCTGGTAGATCATGACCTGTGAAAACAATATCATCGACATAAACAATAAGGATAGCTATCTGGCCGTTGGAGAATTGTTACAAGAAAGGAGTGTGGTTCGATTGAGCCTGAGTGAATTCATGGCCTACCAATTCCTTTGTGAATTTCCCAAACCATGCTCCTGGTGATTGCTTCAATCCATAGAGGGATTTTCACAGTATACATGCTTGGCCCTAGGAGGCAGTTGAGTCAAAGCCTAGAGGAAAAGCCATGTATACCTTCTCTGCAAGATCACCATTTAGGAATGCATTCTTGGCATCAAGTTGAAATAAGGGCTAATCAGATTCACTACAAGGGATTAGAGGACCCAAACAGTGTACAACTGAAGCAAATGTCTCCTTATAGTTAACTTTGTAGGTCTGTGAGTACCCTTTGACGACCAATCGCTTCTCGTTGCGTTCAAATGATCCATCACATTTAAACTTAAAACTGAAAATCCATCGACATCCCAAGTGTGGTTTCGCTAAAGAGCATTATTCTCTTCCATGACGACAACTTCCTAGCTAGGTCTGCTGAGCCAGCCTCAATAGTAGATGGAAGTTGATGATGGGTCAGGGGCGTAGCAAATACTCTGTAGGTTGGTGATAATCTGCAAAGAGAAACATAGTTTGCTATGGGATAGAGAGAGCCTATCTGATTGCGCATCTTACTAGAGGAATCAACATCCTCATTTAGAGTAGGAGCACTGCAGAGGATGTCGTCTAGAGGGGATTTAGGGTGCAACAAGAGGTTAGTGAACTCCAGAGTATGTGCATTAGAACGAGTGCGTCGAGTGTAGACACGGAGAGTGGGAGGGTGTGTTGGTGAAACCAAAGGGACAGAGGACTCCTTGGTGTTAGGAGAAGTGGCCACACCCAAAGGAATTTGGGTTCCTCGATGGTAGGTGACGTGGGGGGAACATCTATAGGGGTAGGGTATGGAACAGTGTCCAAGAACTTTAGCTCCCCCTCATTAGAGGCTGAGTTTGGAAAGTATGAAACACTTTCAGAAAAAGAAACATCAACACACATAAATTTTATTTGTGGAGGGTTAATGCATCGATATCTCTTTTGAGTGACAGAGTATCTTAGGAAAACATATTTTATGGAATTGGGATCAAGTTTACTCTGAGTTGGAGCTGTGTTCATATCAAAGACTGTGCACCTAAAAATTTTGAGATCTAAAGTGGAGAATACTTGATTGTTAGGAAAACAAGATCTTAAGACAGCTAAAGGGGTACAAATGTTGTGAATTTTTGAGGGAACTCTATTTATGAGATGAGTGGCGGAAAAGATGATATCATTCCAGAAACTTTTTGGGTCATTACAGTGAAACATAATGAAACGGGTAATGTCAAAGGGATACCTGTTTTTCCTCTTGACTCCCCATTTCGTTGAAGAGTGTCGATACATGAGCTATGATGGAGGATGCCCTTACCTACCAAGAATTCTTCTAATTTATAGTTAAAAAATTCACGACCATTGTCGGTCTGAAGGACTTGAATATGAGTTTTAAATTAGGTTAAAATTAAAGTGTGGAAGTTTTTGAAAGCGTTCGTAACTTCATATTTATCTTTTAAAATATAGACTCATGTCATCTGAGTGTGGTCATCAATCAAAGGAACCGCCATTTATTTGTGTTGCTAGAAGTGCGAGAGGGTCCCCATAAGTCATCGTGAATAAGAGAGAAAGTAGCGGAAGGTGTGTAATTTTAGGGTGGACAAGGAACACGGTGATGTTTAGCTAACTGACACATTTCACTTTTGAAATTAGAAAATTTTTTATCAGTAAACATCAACAGATATAATTGTTTTAGATACTGGAAACTAGGATGACGCATGCTACAATGTAAAAACATAATAGGACATTCAGTGGACTGATATAAACTGCAACTACTGGGTGAAGTGTTCTGGTCATTCATGCTTTTCTCTTGGAAGAAGTAGAGCATGCTAACCCGCTTAGCAGTTTCAATCATCCTTCCTGAACTTCAATCCTTAAAGACAGATATTAGAGGAAAAATGAGCAATGCCATCACTGTAACATTTCAGAAGAGACGCATGTAACACAGATTCCAGAGTTAGGTCTATTATTAAAACAACATATCTTTTACCAACAATGAAACTTTGGGACTTGTGAACAATTTTAACGATATCTTTCCCATAGCAAGGATAATATGTCGAGAAGGCTTGAGAGTTTCTAATCATCTGGTCCGTGACACTTGAATCAATGATCCATATACTAGAAAAAAAAAACAAAAGAAGTGAGTGCCATATGATTGGTAGCTTGAAAAATGTGGGGTTTGACGGTTCAAAAGAGAGCGAAGTGGATCCAAGCAACTTGATTAAGTGCTTCATTTGACTTTTATTGGAGAATTCTGGATTGTTCTTGGTAGGGTTCGACTGTACTGCATTGGATTCAGTTGTCGTAGCAAGACCCTTGATAGCGGAAGATTTGGCCAAAGGTTTGGATGCAAGTTTTCAGTGGAGCTTTCAACACTTATCACGAGTGTGGTTAAGTTTGTGGCATAAATCATAAGTGGGGTGACCGGCCCGATGTTGAGCACTATTAGAGACCAAGACGGTTGTTTCGGCAGACGCAGTGGAGGTACTGAACATGACAAGTCTTCGGATCTCTTCGCGACGAATCTCAGTGAAAGTGGCACGAGCAAAAGGAAGAGGATCCTGACCAATGATACGACCCCAGACTTCGTCAAGGTCTTTGTTCAGGTCTGCCAAAAATTGAAACCTGCTGTTCTTTTCTATAATTTCCTGGAAAAGAAATAGGTCGGCCGGAGATTCCCAAGTGTAGTCATAGTATAGAAGGCATTCCATCTATATGTAACAAGATTATTATAGTACTGGGTCACGATAATGACTCCTTGTCTTGCCTCATGGATTTTTTTAAACACCTCATAGAGTTAGCTGGAATTCTCCACATCCGAATAGGTATCACGGACTGCTGTCCAGAGGGCACTAGCTGAAAGAAGGAACATACACGATCTACCAATCGAAATTTCCATGGAGTTGATCAGTCACGACTTGACCATGAAATTCTTCACTTCCCAGGCTACGAACACTGTGTTAGTCTTTGGAGATTCATGAATCATACCAGTGAGATTACTAAATTTCCCATCCTCTTTGATGAACAAAGATACAAATTGAGACTATTGGAGAAAGTTGTCGTCGTTCAATTTATGAGCTGTGATTAAGAAGTTCATGTTGTTTTCCTATCCTCTTGTTTGCAAAAACACCTTCTGATGACGACTTAGTGCTGTAGTTCACCGTGGTTTTGATTGAGCCAAACGAGATGTTAGGTTGTTGAGACATCGTAAGGTTCTAACTGCTAGAGGGAAGTTATATATCCTCTGGAAGGGGTTTCTGCGAGAAGAGATCTTCTGGCTGACTGGGCGAAGGTTCTGGTGATCAGATCATATATGCGGAAAGAAATATGCAGCTGGAGCCTGACTGGTTGCTGGAAGAAATTTGGTTCTGTAGAAGCTAACCTCTGACTAGAGAAGCTACCCCCTTGTTAGAGACTGGAACCTGATTGGCTGCCTGGCTGGAGAGACGGGATCCTGATAGAAGGGGGAACCTGATTGGCTGCCTGCTGTAGTCGGGATACCAAATACCTTCTTATATTTCTCATATTCTAAAAGAAACCTCAATAGAAGCCACACCTCAACAAATCCGTCTTTGTACATCTCTCCCATGTTTTTAGAAGGGAGAACAAGTCTATTCTCTACATGAACGCTATCAGCACCTCCACCATAACTTCTCTGCAATATAGCATCGGTGCTGCTTTTATGAACCCCTCCTCCTCAGACCTCACAGTAGCTGTATTATGTCATACCAAATATCATTTTCTTATCCATTGATGCAACTGTGTTGGCCAACAAAGAAACAACAAAACAATTATTTTGATGGTTAAAAATGAAAATGTTACGATAAATATGTAGTAAATTTTTGGAAGGATTGAACCAAAAATTTATATTTGAGAATTTGTGGCAGCAATATCTATTGAAAGCAAGATTTTAAAAGGAAAATGGTCGTTTGAGCATAAATAACTAATTTGTAAAGATAAATCAACAAGGTTATGAGATAGAAATAATGTAAAAGGAATAAATTTATGAATGGGTATGTGATAAAATTTGTTAGGCAAATAGCTAAGAGAAATGTCGGTATAAATGTTTGGTAAACTTGGAAGGATGGTGTAAAAAGTTACAGTAGAGAAGTTTTGGTAGTAACAAGTATTGAAGACAATGTTATAGTAGTCTTATCATCTGTTTGGGCATGTAACATAGAAGAGATACAATAATAAGGCTAGAAAATAGCATTAATGTGAATGAAGTGCAATGGGTAAGTCTGACACCATAAAAAAATTTCTTTCAATCTCTGAAATTTATAAATATCTCAGTTAACATACCATTACTTCATCATGTCATTTTCTGCCTATCGTATTTCAGTTTTGTAATTTTTTGTGGTAGAACCTTTACTTCATTGACAATACTGTATTTATATGTCAATAAATTATTGAAGGCTTGCTCAAAGGAATGCAAATATTATAGAAACTTTTTACAAGATTGTATAAAGTCTAAATTATGTTCAAAATTTTGCTCCTTGTTAATGGTGTAATTTCCTGGCTTTCTTAGGCAGTGAAGCCTTCATCAATTCCACGCCAATTAGATAAGGCATCATCTCCACGGCTTCTTCAAGTTGTTGGTAAATATTTTTTGCTCTTTTTTTGTGTTTTTCTTGGTAACAAGATTATTATTTTGCTGCATATTATCCATGGTGATTTATTGCAAGCTTGTTGATCACGATAGAAATCTTTTGTTGGTTATATTTTGCAAAAGATGTTTATGGAAAAATGTTTTTGCTTCTATTTGTTTTCATTTTTTTTGCTTCGTCGTCATACATCACATCTTATAGTTTATGTATATTTTAGGCATAGTATGGGTTAATGGTTAATAAATGTAACGAGTAGTTTTATTGAGTTAACACTCTTATTGCTATTATGTGAACTTAATGTGCTCTTAAGAGTTTTGTAGTTGTATAAATACTTCACTTATGGGAGTATTATGCTATCAATGGATGAAATGAACTTCCTTCTTTGTTGAGTTATTCCTTTTCAAAGTCCCCAATTTTTTGAGTTGTTGCCGGGTGTGACATCATCAATTATTCTTGTGATCCTTTAGAATCATAATAATTGGTGCTCGTGTTGTTTCTCATTGTAATTAGGTACTACTTCTTTTTTTTTGTCTCTGATCTCAGCCTTAACGCACTGATTCTATCATTCATTTTGACTCGCCCAATTCGCTCTCACCAAAAGATAATACAAATAGCAACCCTGTCTTAAAATTAAACTCAAAACTCACTACTGCTCAGATATTGTGCTCTGTCACTCTCTCAGATCTTGCCATCACTAAATATCACTTAAGGTTAACTGTTCTTTTCAATCTTTGCAAATCTTGCCCTGACATTGCAGATCTAGCCAAATTTGCTTCATTTGGACCTCACCCCTTCATATCTAACACCTGTTCTCTCATCAGAATCCTTACCATATCGGTTCCAATCTACAAACTTAGAAACCTGAACAGCATCACCAAAATCTCATCCAAATTATAAGTTCCAGCTCCAATTTGCCTCTTCCAAGTCAACCAGGTCCGCTTCAATTCCTTTCTTCCACCAATCTATTTGATCCCATGATTCCATCTCTGGCTATTCCACCAGCTTTCATATCTTGTCGACACCAACTTGTTGCTGATGACTCCACCATCCCTCCATTCAGAATGTTGCTATTTTGTATTTTCTGTCCTTCACTGGGATTTTCCAAATCCACTCAAGCCGTGAACATTCTATTTTGTTCACTAATTCAAGTGAGGTACCCTTGCTGAGCCACACCAACCAAATCTATATCAAATCCTATTCGACATCAATTATGTCATCACTACCGTCGCATCTACAGGCTGCGCACCATTCCCACATTTACTGTCTTGTCCATCTTTCTAGCAAGCCCTCTAAGACCTTTGCCAGACTTGTTGCTTACGGGATCTCCCAAGTCCACACCAAAAAACCGTCTAACCTCCACCAGATAACTATAAAGGATGCAACCAAGTTGTTTGTTAAATGAAATGCCACTTAAAACCTTCAATGACATAAATCATTTCAACAATCGAGGGATGGGACCGCCTCAAAAAATTTATTAAATATTTGGAAAGATTTGAGGGACCATAAACAACATTAATCCTTGACCAGCCATACAAGAAGTCAAATACAAGGAACGCTCAACTCCCACACCCTTGCTTGTTTAAAAGGAGTTTCCACAAGTCTAGCCACATTATACACATTCAGGCTGCGACATGTATTTTTTAGTTATATAATGAATGGAGGGCGGCTTGCAAAGCCTTTTGATGCTTAACAAATGCAAGTATTTTCTCCAGCCCCTTGTGTGATTCAACAGTTATCAATCATTCTTTTTTGCTCCAGCAATTCAATCCATAATCGTAGAACCTATTCGTACTGCTTGTGCGATTCAACCGGGAACATTCAGGTAATTTGCGTCCTTGTTCATCAAAAGGTGTGGAAAATTCGGTCATCTCATTGGTGTGATTCGTGAACCTCCAAAGATTGACCTAACATATAGAGCTTGAGAAGTGGATAATTCCATGGTCATATCATGACTGATCAACTCCATGAAGTCTTCGATTGGCTGATCATATATGTTCCTTCCTTCCACTAGTGCCCTTTGGACGATAGTCCGTGATTGCTACTCAGATATAGGGAATTCCAACCAACTTTATGAGATATTTATGAAAATTTGTGAGGCAAAACAAGGATCGAGAACCGTGACCCAATGCTACAATGATCTAGTTGCATTATAGATGGAATGCGGCCTGTACTATGACTAAACTTGGGAATCTCCAATGGACCCATCTCTTTTCCTGAAATATATAGAAAAGGATCACATGTTCTACTTTTTGGCAGACCTCAATAAAGATCTTAACGAAGTCCCGACTGTATCCTTTCCCTTCTACTCGCACTGCTTTCACTGAGATTCTTCTTTAAGAGAGCCGCAGGCCCATCTTGCTTGGTACTTCCACTTCGTCGGCCGAAGTATATTCAATCCCGAGCTGGTCACCCCACTTGTGATTACTGTCACAAATCCAATTATACTCGTGATAAATGTTGGAAGCTCCACGGGAAACCAACATCCAAACCTTTGGTCAATTCTTTGGCTCCCAAGTGTCTTGCTACAACTTCTGAATCCGACACCCATCTTCTACCTAAAACAATCCATAAATCTTCAATTCTCTTAAAAGTCAAATGAAGCACTTAATCAAGCTGCTTAGATGCAATCTGTTCTCTTTCGACCCGTCGACCTCCCACAATCGTCAAGGTACCAATCATATGACACTCAGTTCTTTTGCCTCTTCTAGTCCATGGATCATTGATTCAGGTGCCATGGACCACATGACTAGAAGCTTTCAAGCCTTTTCAACATACTATCCTTGCTCAAAAAAATATACTGTTAAAATTACTGACCCAAGGTTCAATTGTTGGTAAAGGGTCTGTTGTTTTAACAAAATGTCTAACTGTGGAATCTGTGTCACATGTATCTCTGCTGAAGTGTAACCATTTATCTGTTAGTAAGCTGACATATAACATTGATTATATTGCTCATTTTTCTTTTGATGTCTGTGTCTTTTGGGATCGTCGTTATGGGAAGATGATTGGAACTGATAAGCGGGTTGGCAGACTCTACTTCTCCCAAGAGAAAATCACAGAAGACAAAGACACTTTATCCAGTAGTTGCTGTTTATCTGTTCACTGAATGCTCTATTATGTTGTTACACAGTCGACCCCTACGCCCTCTAGCAGTCGTCTACTTGCTGCTCCCCCTTCCCTACAGTTATACCTTTTGCCCCTTCCCCCATTTAAAAGATAGACCTACCATCCAACATCCCCACCTTCTACCATCACCTTTATTGGAGTTTATGTGTTGTCTTCATGTTTGTGTTGTTGTTTGTTGTCGTTATTTAATGTCGTAAGAGTCTCGTTTGTACCCTTTTGAATTCAATAATCATAATTGTGTTCTTTCATGGTGGTCTATCTTTTCCTCTGGTATCATTTGGTATCAGAGCTAACATAATTCTAGGGTTCCCTAACATCCGACCTCACCCAAGCCACCTCTTACCAAAATTTTTTTGCCCTAAAAGCTTCGACAAATGAAGTCGAAGCTTCTCTGCCCCCGGAAGATTGAAGCGTAAGCTTGCTGTCCTTGGTACTATAGCAGCTATAGTCAGCGGTCCCCCTTTCCCTTCCTTTCCATTCCTTTCCCTTCCTTTTATTTTTTGATGCTTTCCTATTATAATTCCTTTCCTTCTCTGCTTCTTTCTTATTCTTCTCCTTTCCTATTATATCTCTTTCCTTTCTTACTTTTTACTTATTTTATCTATTACTCCTTTCTTTATATAGATGATGTTTTCTAATTTTAGGGAGAGGTTTTTTGATTGCAAATTATTTAGTGCTGCGTTTGAGGTGCTCTTGCCCTCCAGAGATTGTATCTGACGGCGGGAAGGTGCTCCGGCTGTAACTTTTCTGAGGTGTTGATCATCTCTAGAGGTCCGGGCGGTGCTCTGGCTATAGATCGACCCCGATGAGACATGTTTCTTTTTGCTGCCCCCTCTCTCACGCAGTCCCGCAGTCCCGCAGTCCCAAGCTCGCAGCCCTTCCTCCAGCTCATCTTCAAACTGTCAACCCTCCTCCACACTTTCCTACAAGTTGCCAACTTACTGTTTTCCTCCGACACCCCTCCAACATCTCGCCAGTTGACCCTTACGCTCTCCAACAGTCGTCTGCTGCTCCTCCTTCCCTACAATCAAACTTGCTGTCCCTTCCTCTGTTTCCTTACCACTGGCCCTAGTTCCCTCTACCCGTTGACGCCAACATCCCCACCTACTACCGTCACCCTTATTGGAGTCTATGTGTAATGTCTTTATGTTTGTGTTGTTGTTTGTTGTCGTTATTTAATCTCGCAAGTCTCATTTGTACCATTTTGAATTCAGTTATAATAATTGTTTTCTTTCGTGTGGTTCGGTATTTTATTCTGGTATCAGCTAGCTTAGAGCGGATAGTGGGGACAAGTGACGAACCCAATCAAGATTCCTTTGTTTTGTTATCCTGAGTAGTCTTCGACTTTCGTCTAAGTAGCCAATAGAGTTTATCGGCCCAACTTGACTTTAAGATCCTTGTCAATAATCATGGGTTACATCATCTTAGGGGATCTTGTAGATCTGAGGTGGATGTTTAGACTTAGGTGCTAATTTTATGCCTATTTTAGCTTATAAAGGGCTTCATGCACTTTTAGGTATAGCTTATGAATCACAGCTCATAGGCTTAGCCATTGGCAAACATTTGCTCTTAAAATTGAATCATAATATACCAGTTTAATTTTGCAGCAATTCGCATGCTTAAAATGGCACATGCAAAGTCCTTATTGACATTAGATTTGTGAAGAGTGATCATAGATACATTTTCAAGGAGCCAGGTGGGAAAATGTTTTGAAAAAAACTTTAAACACATAAAATTTATTCTAAGTATTTTTAAAAAACAATTTAATTTTATTTTTAAGATAAAAAACATGAGCTTAACATGCGTTGCCCAAATTTTTAATAACAAACGTCCTTTGGTTCTTTTGTATAGCCTTGGTTATTGATTCTATAAGTATCTCAAGTTATCATCATGCAAAACATATTTTGAATACAAGTCAATATGTTTTCCTCTGGTTTCTTTCTTTTCCCATATCCTTCTTGACGGACAACAGAGTGGTTCGATACCTCAATAGCATTGCTTACTGCCTATTATTGTGGAAATCTCCCCGTATCGGCTGTGGATGCTGGTTTTTGACCCACTACTACTTGTGTTACCATGGATCCATAGGCGTTCAATTGCATGTTTTGTTTTTCAGTGCTTTCCAGAACTACAGAGATAAAGAATCTGCTGTCTAGAAATTGAACATTGGGAAGAAAAAGGCCAGATATTAAGGAGAATCAAAGTGAAGTGGCAATTCAAGAACCTGATTTCTGGGAAATAACACGGTTAATTGGTGTGCAGAAATCTGATTTTTAGCAAGGGTTTTAAATAATAAGTGCTGAAAGTAGGGGTGTGTATTTAATTGGTTTGTTTTATTTGATTTACACAATACCTGAACCCATTAATTTCCATTCTAAAGTTTAGAAATTTAAACCAACAGAACTACTTTTCAAACCCAAGTAAACTGAACTGAATTTTGCTTCGATCAATTCAGTTTGGCTTGATCCCGGATTTACCGAAGTGTAATTAAGGAATATTTTTAATGATCAAAACTGAAGGAAAGAAACGAGTATAAGTAACAAATAAATGGTTTTATAACTTTCATGCTGATTACTGTTTTATTTGATATCGTGATCATTGTGCTTGTCTTTTTGTATGATCACTGTGTTACAGTTTAATGGGGAAAAGTGATCCGTTTATTATATTGCAGGTAAAGATCTGAGGATCATTGTCTTTGGTTTTCGACCCAAAATGAAACAGGTTGCTCTTCTAAAAAACTTTATCATATGCCGTTGCTTATATTGCATTTGTTTGAGATCCTTTTAAGATTTCAGTTGCCCTTAGGTTGAGTTGGTAATTTACATGTGAATTTTCTATGTTCGCATGTTAAGTTCTCTGTTATGTTTAAGTGAAAGCTATTACTGGTAGTTAATGGAACTAAAACCTGGTGTATTTTCAATTTCCAGGTTACGAACTTTTGTTAAGTTCCCTGTTTTATTTAGTGAGTGATGTCATTTATACTCAATATAAATAAAAGTAAGCATTAGCTCATCATCTGTGAAATTAAAACCACTTTAGCAGAGGGTGTGGTCCTAGTTATGCTTCGGCCCCTTTAGTTTCAAGTTTTCTGTGGAGTTTAATTTACCCTGAGGGGCATTCTTTTAAGGTTTGGACATGGCAAAATTGATCATGCACTGAGCTTCCATATTAAGTGCTCCTTGCTTTTTGTAGTATCTGCGCCCTTCTCTTGTGCACTCATTAAAAAAGTGATCAAGATTACAGCATCCATTTTCTTTAGAGAGATTTTTTTTTGTTCATGTTGCTATGGCGCAATTTAAGCAAGAAAGTTTCTCAAATATTATAATTCAATTCTTCTATCCTTATTTTCACTGCAGTATGGATTCCAGTTGCTCTATTATTTAAGATCTCACCAGTGCTTCTTTACAGCGAAGAGCTATTTTTGATGCTTTGTCAAGGTACACCAAACCGACTCGATTATGGGATATGTACACTGTAACTTGCGGTCCCTCTAAATTCAGCAACATCAATCCAAGATTTCGATTAATTAAAGAGTACCTTCGGCTTCTAGGCAAAGGCTCCTTGTCTATGTCAAGCAAGAAAATTGATGATGGGTCACTCATTGTCTCCAACGAGTTGTGGAGACTCACAACAGTAAATTCTAGATATTCACTGTGTTCAACTTATCCATCTTCCTTGATTGTCCCAAAAAGTATCAGGTACATAAATGTTATTTTCCCCGTTTAAATTGCTACTCATAAAAAAATAATCGATACCTTTCAAATGTTGATCAGTTGAATCTTTCTTTGCTGCCATTCTTTAACATATGACCTTGCTATTGATGCTTTCATTGATGGGCAGTAATACTATATTTTTTAAGAGTTAATCCAAGTTAACTTAGTTACCCTCACACTTTCAGTGACGAAGAATTACAGCAGGCTGCTTCATTCCGTGGGAGGGGACGGTTACCTGTAATTTCATGGTGTCATGCTGGTTTGTACATATAATACTTTTCAGAGAAAGAACTCATCTCGAGTTCTTAGAACATTTCTTTATTTGCAATGAGCATCATAAAAATTCATCTAATAAATTAGTTCCAGATTCTTGTATTGGCTATTTAAACTCAACTGATGTGGTTAATATGCCAGGAACTGGGGCTGTGCTAGCGCGGTCATCACAGCCATTGGTTGGTCTTATGATGAACACGAGAAGGTTTTTTTCTTCCTTGTGAATTTCAATTTCATTTGTTCTTCTAATAGTTGAGAGTGTATGAATGTCTTCGTATGTTGTTTTTGTAGCAACATGGATGAGAAACTTGCTGCAGCACTTTGCACTCAAACAGTCCATGGAAAGGGTGTACGAAGGTAATGTAAAATTGTTATTCCTTCTTGCCTTTACTCAGACATTTTGTCCAAAACTTTGTTAGTGACCAGCCTTGTAATTTCAAGTGTAATTTTTTTCTTGGGGGACATTCTTTTCATCCATTCTTCAGAATAGATGTTTCAGTGCAGTTTTTCATCCTATAACCTGTGTAATTGCATTTTTCGCTTTTACATTTTCTGCGTACTCATCCTTTTTTTTAACTTGCTTGACATTATGCTTTCTTTGACTTCTTCCAAATTTGAATTAATAGAAACAATGTACGTATATGCTATCAGGAAGCTCTACATTGCTGACGCAAGGCCAAGAAAAAATGCTTTGGCTAATGGTGCAATGGGAGGTGGATCAGAGTCATCTTCTAATTATTTTCAATCTGAGGTCTGTTATATTATTTTGCTTATTATGATGCATACCTTTTATTGTTTGTTAAAGTTGATTTACATTTGTTTAAAACTTCGGTTATTATTTGGTTAGGTCGTCTTTTTTGGAATCGATAACATACATGCTATGAGAGAGAGTTTTTCTCGGCTAAGAGACTATTTAGATACCCACGGATCGACTTCATCAGATGGAATGTCATCATTTTTGGTTAGTTTTGCAGACCTGGTGTAGCTGTTACTAGATTATGTGACTGAATAACTTTTTTATTGACTTTACTCGTATGAATTTCTATTATGTATATGTATTTTTTTAAAAAAACCCTTTGGATTTGGTCAAAATCCGCTGATATTGTATGTGATTGAGTTTGAATACAAGTGTTGATCTCCATATGTATCTTTCCATCCAATTCAATCAAATATGATGAAAGAAACCAAAAATGAATGCAATATAACAAGTCAAGCTTTCTATTGCCGATGATAAATCTACTCAACCGTCGTTTGCTTTGCAAAGTAGACGGTGCCTATGCATTCAAAATGTTGAAATGACCTAACCCCAAATAAAATTTCACTACAAAAGGAAGGGGAAAATCTACCTGCATGTGTATGAGCAACGATAATTCAGGAGAGAATCAATACACTTATTTTATAAAAGGAAAGTTAATTGAAAAATGTGTCAAATAGATCTTATTTAAAAAAATGTTAAAATATGTATAATCATTATATATTTAAGTTTCTTCAATTATTTAAGTTAAAATTAGATTAGATATATTGTAATATATGAATAAATCTATTATTATTATTATTATTATATTTTATATAATTGAAAATTTCTATTGTTAAAATCAATACGCCTCTCCATACTTCTTGTAGGTAGTTCTATAGCTTCATAGTTCTACAGTTATGACTCTCATTCTCACACCTTTAATATTAATTTTTTAGTTTTGAATCCGCTCTTTACTCTCTCTGGCAATCAAACCCTCGAACCTTCTGAGGCTTTTAATATTTATTTCTTCTCTCCCATTCAAACTACCTTGTTCCTTGTCTCTCAACAATAAATAAATAAATGAAGAAATATTTGTTGACCTCTTGGTGAATCGACGTTGCTTCGCTACAACACCTCAATAAGGGAGCTAAAACAACACCCTCCTGCGCTGAATGCGCCTCGATACGGGCGCTTCGATCCCGCGGGATCGAAGATCAGCGAACTCTCGCGGGAACAGTACGGCGGGCAAGATTCACCAATGCAGGAGGCAGGGATCTTGAAATTTCGCAATCCGTGAGATGCGGCGCGATCTAGGGTAGCTTCACAGTGCCTTCTAGGTTCCTCTTGCTTTTCCCTCCTTTTTCTTTTGTGTGGAAGTTTTCTGGGAGCCCATAAATTGTTGTTTTTTGTGTGTGGGAGTTAGTTTTGGTTGTGTTTGCTCTTAGATTTCTGCGTGGAATTTTTTTCCCTTTGTGGGTTGTATCCAAGGAGGTGGTGGTGCTCCGGCTGTATCCTCTCTGAAGTGGTGACGAGGTGGTGACTGTTGCCTTCCCTTTTTACCTTCTCCAAACCATTAATGAAAGTTTTCTTTTGTGTTTCCACCATTTATCCTATTAGTTCCGTTATCAATCTTTATTATGAAGATAAAGTTAAAGCCATATAGGGTCTTCATTATGTGTTATAATATTGCACAAATAAAATCAACCCCATAACTTGGGTTAGTTTTGAGGTTGAACGTATCATTTTCTATTTTAATAAAATCAGCCCTTGGGCTTTTCAAATAATAATAATAATAAAAAACTCAATCCCATAACTGGTTAAAAGAATGACATGGAGGTTTTCCTCCTAAAACTGAACCATTTGGCTCGAACTGATTCAGTTGAAAGAGGGGGCGAACCAGCCTCCTTCCCCACTCTTTTCATTAGGTGGGAATTTTTCTCCTCCTTCCTGTTTTCATTTCTCGCATATCTCTCTTCTATTTATATTTAGGTTTTAGGGTTTCAGCTTATGTTGTATTTTCTGATTTCAGTTTGTGAGGACAGCCGCCAGCATCTTGTTTTCCCCTCGAGGGCTGTATCCGACGGAAAGGGAGGTGCTCCGGCTGCATCTCTCTCCCCGGAGTGGTGATTATCTTCTCCGACTTCGACCTCCACCTCCCCTCCGCTGCTCCTCTCACTGTGACCTGCTGCAGAACACCCAAGACAGCTGTTCAGCAGTTTCCTTGCAGCTGTTTACCCATCTCTAGCCCGTCTCCTGCCCTGGCTGCTCTTCCCACAGCCTCCACTGTCGTTAGCTCTCCCAGCCTCCCTTCCTGTCCAAGGCGGCAGAAAACCCCACTGCAGTAACTTCCTGACCACCCTCGCTTGAGCCTTCTTGCTGGGCCGCCAACTTCTCCATCTTCCACCTTGCTACCAGACCAAAATCCACCCACAGTTCTCATAGCTGCTTGCCCAACCGCAGCCAACTATTCCTTCTCCTATTTCCGTGACAGCTTGCTGCCATTCGTGTACTCCTCCTCACAACTCCCCTTTCCCTGCCCTTCAGGCTACACACCAGCCAGCATCCAGCTAGCCTCCGACTAGCACCTCCACTTGCGGGCCAGCAGCCACCCACCCCCTTCGCTGTCGCCCTAGGGTGTCCTCTTATGTTTGTTATTATTTATTCTCCGTTTGAAGGGTCATTGTTTGTAATCATTTTGAATTTCAACAATAATACTATTATTTCTTTTGTGGTTTGGGGATTTTCCGGTTTCAAAGAATGCTCTCGATAAACTTTAGCTACAAATGCCCTGATGAAAAAAAAGTTATTGGGTGTTTGGTCAGAGGTGGACTAAGTACTGAATTTTGAACAGTTGAAAGAAATGGCTATAACTGCAATATTAGATTATTATGGTTACAGATTTTTTTGTCAAAATTCATGATCTGCTTGGAAGAGAAAAAATGATTCAGAACTTAGAAATCTATCTGAGGTTGCATATTCCATACATGAGCTAAATTGCTCAAAAAAAAAAAAAAATCTCTTTTTCACCTTCTTAGATGAGACATATAACATTTCAGTTGTATGGATTTGTTTATGGAAGCATTAATGTATTAGTTGAGTTGCATGATCATGTTAGAGTTTATATTGATCCCTCTTACAGGCTTTTCATCTGCGAGTTTTTCAAGACACGGCCAGGTTGTGGCCTTTAAATGTGATCTGGTTCAAATTAAGCTAATGGGAAAATCAGTTCCCAGTACTTGGAAGTTCATGTTACTAGGTTGGTCATTCTGATAGATTATGCAGTGTTTTACAACTATGATCAGCATTGAAGAACATTATCTATCTCAATGAATATGTTGGCATGTTTGTATTTCTCAAGGTGTAAAATATTTTGAATTCTACCTTGATGTGCTCCAAAGGTTTATCCTTGCAAATCTATATTTATTATTATGTCTGACCTCGCTCATGTAACTTGAAATCTTCCTTCTGAAGGGTAGGCCTGATAGTTTTGGACCACCCAGTCTCTTGTTCAGACCATTCTTCCTCCAATTTTTCCATTTTTGTTTCTTTAATGTCAGATTATCTTTCTTTGATTTTGATTTGTATGAATGACTAACTCTCGAGCACAACACTGAAATTATTCCAGAGAAACGGCGGGTGGAGCTGGGGCGGAGGCAATTTAAGCAGTATGTCAGCTTCTGTTTCAACTCTTGGTGATAGTGGATGGCTGAATCATGTTCAGAGTGTCCTTGCGGGTGCTGCTTGGATTGCTGCTCGCATTGCAATGGAGTCAGCCTCTGTTCTTGTACACTGCAGGTTTCTTTACCAAATTTTGTTGATTTTCTTTTCTTATGAAAAGGGAGATCTTCTCTGTTTTTTTAATATTATTATATTACTTTTTAAATTGGACCCCAAAATAGTTGGAGGCTATTCATATGTAAAATGTTATGGAAAGTTCATGCTGTGGTATGATTTCTGTACGAAGTGTAAAGACTTACAACTAAGAAATTTTGGAGTCTTAATTTTTCATTCAGCTCGACACATCAATCTTAGGTTTAATTTTTAGGTCTAATTTTTGTCAAGTAATTAAACTAGTGACACTCTGCATAGCGAGCATCTTTAAGAGAATATTACTTGGTTCTAGTATTTGCGGCGAATCATTATTCTCCTGTTTTTTGGTTTGGTTTCAAATATTTTTAAGAATAAATGGTTATTGAAGTTTTTGTATTTTCTTGACCAGAGTACATCAATATTATTAGTATTGATTATAAAAACAATTTTGCAAAAATGTTGTGTCCACATGAAATTCACATGTGAAAAAAAAAATCGTTTACACTTTATTTTGTATTTTTTTGCTTACTAAAATTTAATATTTATTTTAATCATGACACACCTCTTTTAAATTATTTTTTCTCCAGTGATGGATGGGATAGAACAACTCAGTTGGTATCACTTGCAAGCCTCCTGCTTGATCCTTACTACAGGACATTCAAAGGATTTCAGGTGCTTTATGCAGAATTTGTATCTAGTCTCTGTTTTTAAATTATATATAGTCAAACCTGATCATTATCTAGTTTGTTCATGCATTTCTGTCATGAATCTCGGGCATCATCATATTTCTTTCTGATGTTTTTGATGGCTTTTGAATTTCTTTCTTCCCAAAAAATACATTTTTCATAAATAAAGAACCAACAAAACATCCTTATCAGTTTTGGGTACTTCAATGCAGGCACTTGTTGAAAAAGATTGGCTTGCTTTTGGCCATCCATTTTCTGACCGCCTTGGAATTCCAACATCATTTGGGACTAGCTTCTCACATTTGGAATTACCCAGACAATCTTCTGCAGGAAGCCTTCCAAGGACACCCTCAGTTGGAGGCTCATCACATTCTCAGGCGGCAAACAATTGCTCTCCTATATTCTTACAGGTATGTTGTTTATAAGCTATTATTTTGTATAATTTGGGGTTGCGCTGAGTTGTGTTGTCTAACATGCAAAAGCTTCTCATCATGATGGTTTGCATGGAGTTTTATTTGGTTTCAGGAAGTTTCTCTGAAATTTTTTTCGAACTCCAATTTAAGAGCTTATTATGAGTTTGAACTGGTGAAAAAAAAGGGTTTAGCCTTATGCTTTTTAAAGCTACATCTTACCTAGAGTTTTCAGGTTGGATGTGGCTCTCTCTTTTAAAGCTTGATGCAGTCTCAACTCTTCTTGCTCGCTGTCAGTTTAAAGATTTTACTAGATTTCATTCTCTATGTTGCACATCATGATGCATATTATACTCTCTATGATGCGGGACTTAAGCTTGGCTGAACCGACCAGAGGATCAGCAAGGAGAGTCACCGTCCAACAGGAAGCTGGATCGGCCCTCCTCCCACTCTTTTGGGCAGGCTTAACCTCTCCCGTTCCTTCTCCCCTCTTTTCCTATTCGATCCCTTCCATAGGGGGTGCCTTCCTTTTCTATCCTTTTCCCATTCTATCTACCATCTATTATATGTATGCTGTGTGTTTGCTTAGAATGGAGTTTTACTTTTTGCTGATTACAAATATCTGCCCATATCCGATGACAAGAAGGTGCTCTGTCTGTAAAGCTGTAACTCGTCTGAGGAGATCACCATTCTTGCTTGTTCCCCTCTTTCTGCTGCCGCTCCAGGTCCACAGATTTCATCCCTGCTTGCAACCACTTGCCCGACTGCCTTCTTCAGTCGTCCAGGACTGCCACTCTTCCCCTCTAGCATCTTCATGCAGGCCGAAGCTTCCTCCAAAACCTTCCTATAGGCCACTGCTTTGTCCAGCATCCTCATGCAGGCTGCAGCTTCCTCCAGCATCCTCGTGCAGGCCGCTCCTCTACCCGACATCTCCCTACAGGCTGCGGCTTCTTCCAGCTCTCTTCCAGCACGCCGCCCATCCACCAGCTTCCCTCCTGCAGGCCGCACGACTTCCTGCACTTGCCAGATAGATCGTCGACCACCTCCCGTAGCCACTTGTTCCCAGCCTTTTTAGCAGGCCACCGTTACTTCCCTGTTCCCTCTAGCATTGCAACAAGTACTTCCAACACCCCTCCAGCAGATTGCTGGTGCTTCCTGTTCCCTCCAACCTTGCCACACCTCTCTCTAGCCCTGCCACTCTCCCTTAGAGGAATTTTTATGTTTTGTGCTGTTTTTATTATTATTTTGAGGAGTTGTCATTGTGACTTTTGAATTCAGGAATATTATTTCTTCTCTTGTGATTTTGGTCAACTTCGGTATCACTCTACCTTTGATTACTCATCAAATTAAGATTAACAACACAAAAAAAAATTGACATCACGACCATGGTTCTTAGAAGCTATTGCATAGATACTGACATAGTGGTCACCACGACATGGACTCTAGACACGTCTATTATTGAAAAAATAGAACATGGACACACATTAGACATGTGTTATAATAACAATTATTATATATATATATATATATATAAAGAGAGAGAGAGATATATATGTAAATAAATTAATAAACAAAATAAGATTAATATAAAAGTGAAAATAAGAAATTTAATCACTTATTTTTAAAAACTAAGAGCTTGTTTGACATTATTTTAGTTGATATAAGTTTTATTTATTTTATTTTTATTTTAAAAAATATATTAAATTTTATTTAAAATAATCAAAATCTATAAAAAATATTTTGAGAATTTTTAAGGACAGCGACCTTAATCAAACATGCTTTAATTTAAATCAAAATATAAAAAAATTAAAAAAAATTACCAGAATTTAAAAGGTGAAATACATATTTATATAGGCTAGAAGGTATTTCGATTGAAGAACTTTTGTCAGCTGAAGGTTCTTTTGCTGTCTAAATGAACTTCGGTATTTTTTTGGGTTCTTAGAAAATACAAATTGTTAAAATTATATGATATAGTTCCAACCATGATAAAATTACCAGAATTCAGTTCAACTCCTGTATGTAAAGCCCTAATAAAATAACCTGTTTTCAATAAAACTAGTAAAATTAGGGTTAGGTACACTTATGGTAAATTACTTGGGGTGACGAAACTATGGCACTCCATAAAATATTTATTATAATTATGAGGATTTAGTAAGTCTTCGTAAAATTACTACGGTTTACTACAATACTAGCTATTTATTAAGATTGATGCAACCCTAATAATTCCTGGCACCTAATGAAATAGCCATGGTTCGGGATGACATGATAATTCCACTACAACACTGTGCAGCTCTAATAAATTTACCAGGGTCAAAAAAATCACTAGAGTTTTTGTGTCATTATTTATAAAGAAGTCGAACATTTGAGAATTATTTCACAAAAAATGGAAAAATATTTTTCCTTAGTAATGATCCAAACCAGAGGTCTTTTAAACGTGTATCCTTCGTATAAAATTATGTTGGATTAATGCATTTTGAGATTCATATATGGATATGTTTCATGGTTGAACCCTTGGATGAACCTTATGTTTCTCATTCGTTGCTTTTCACCATATTTTTATTTTTTTGCTTCTGTTTTCCATATTTTTCATTTGACCAAGTCGGCATGGTGTAATTGTAAGCGATGCTGCTCCTTAATGCACAACCTTACTAGTGTAGTTGAAGGCAAACTTACTTGTGACAAGTCAAACGTTGTATTGCCTATGCCATTTGTGATTGTGTGATGATTTTTGGCATATCTCTTGTTGATTATACAATGCTCCTGTTTGGAAAAGAGATTACCGATAGAATTCTAATTTCATGTCTTAGTGTTAATCTTCCATAACATGTGATATAATTTGGAATTTTTATCTGTCTACAGTGGGTTGATTGTGTTTCACAATTACTAAGAGTGTACCCATGTGCTTTTGAATTCTCATCGGTAGGTATCCATACTTTCCAGTTGCATTGGTGATTAAAAAGTGTTAATCTTGCTTTTCATCAAAAAATTTATGGCTTATTTGGTTTTTTTTTCTAGGCTTTCTTGGTTGATTTTTTGGATTGTGTGCTCTCCTGTCGCTTTGGGAACTTTTTATGCAACAGGTACTCTTAACATTTCTAGTTGTTATCGGCATGCCATTTATTCAATTAACATTAGATCTTTTTGCCTGAGATGTAATGCCACATCTACGAAATTACACCACAAGCTTCTTAATGCTGCAGATATCTACCAGAGTAGCAATGACTTCAGTTTTTTCTTGTGTTAGATCAGCAATATATGATTTTTATTGTTTTAAAGTTACTTTTTCTGTTGGCTTGTACTGGAATATCCACATTTTCATCAGAGTTACTTAGTGCTTTGTTTTTCTTGTTTGCTTAGCCAGGTCCGAGACTATACTCTTTGCATTAGTTTAAGCTGGTTGTTAGTCCTTTTCTGATGTTGGTTTTCTAAATGCAGTTTTATCCTTTTAATGTTTCATATTTCATTGCTGTGTTTTGTTACTTTTAAGTATTTTGGTTAAATTAGACAAAGGAAGAGAGGGTTTTATCTTCTATAGTGAGGAATATGAGTAAAATGAAGACGTGATATGTCAAGGATTTAAAAGGTAAACTCTTCCTTTGTCTCCACTAGTAATGTTATTTGAATTTAGTGTTGAGTGATAAATAAATCATTAATTGATGATTTAAATTTCACATTGATAAGAATTTTAGTTGTGTTAAAAATTTAGAAAAGATAGACTGATGAATGATCATATGAGAGGGATCATAGAAGTAGGATTTTTTTAAAATAAGATGGTAGAAAATTGACTTTGTTTGTTTGTGTGTACAGCAATGGGTTGAAATTACATTAATAAAAAAGGTGAATAAATTTATTGCTGATGAACGACAAGGTTTATTTTAGATGGGAGAGACTTGAAAATGACATCTTTATTGAATATCTGGGTACAAGCATACACACATTCAACAGTAGAGAGTATTTAAAGAAAATACAATAAAGGAGAATATCTCCAATAATGATAAAATATAAAATAATAATTAGTTTATATTCCTAATATAAATAAGTCATCACATTTGCTAATTTATAAATGGCAACACTCCCCTACGAACTCAATGTGACATGACATCTTAATTTAAGTTTGAAATAGTGCAACCAAACATGCACTTATCGAAGATTATTTTTCTTAGCGATTATGAGTGTCACAAGAGGTGCATGATTTGTTGTTAAAGAGAATAACATGAATGAAATGCAACAATTGATTATCAAACTTGTGTTGGGAGGGCGTGGATAAGATCTTTGAATGAAATTATTAGTAAAATTTTGAGAGAGAGTATTGCTAGAGCGAGTCAATGGAGAGCATCGATGGAGAGTATTGATAGTGTATTTGTCGTAGAAAGGACAAAAGTCATTTGCATGGTATCTTTTAGAGAATAAAAGAGATTGTTGAGGAATAATTGTTGAATGGATGATGACTGAAGCTGAGGTTTGTTTCCTAAGCTGTTATCAATTGTTCAAGCAATAAGCACAATTGATGTTAGAGTCACATTAATGTAATGGGCTCTTGCTACTTGTGTAAGAGAAATGTATGTGCCACTAAACAGGGATCCACAAGAGAGGTTGCATTGGAGTTAGAGTAGATTTGAAAGTCGATCGAAGGTCATCTATGAGACATGGACAATTAGATAGGCTTTGATGCCATTTTAGAAGGAGAGAACTGAACAGAAATACATCTTTATTGAACTTTAGTATTAGTACAAGCATGCCGATATATAGACATAAGAAGTGGGCAATTATGAAAATTACAATAAAGGGTTTTATACTTATTTATAAGAAAATATTTTAATAATAAATAGTGCAGGTTCCTATTATATTATCACAGTTGAAAATTTAGTTATGATCAGAGATTAGATCAAAATAGCATATATAAAAGATGCTCGACAATATTTGTGATTATTAATTTTAGTGCATAAAAAATACTCAATAGGAATAAATGAAAATTAAGGATTCGTTTTGCTGATGCTAAATTGCTTGGTCACTTCATTATGGTGATGATATTATCATCATTCTATTCAACTTTCAAGACGTCCCAAATGCCTACATAGACATATTACAATAATTAGGGTGGCTTTTGCGTGTCTAGTTGAGCAACTTAGACTTGACTCGAAACTGATAATTTTGAAATTTAATCCTACTCAAAATGCAGTAATGAATCCATTAGAGTTATCTCAAAATTAGTTTTTGTTGACTTGAAATTATTAACATAGCTCAAATGATATTATTTTAACTCATTATTGGATCCGGTCTTACTTGATATTGAATAATCCAAAAATATAACTATATTTGTTTTTACACGTAATAGTTAATTTTTAATTTTAAATAAATAATCGTTAATTTTTAATTTTGAATAAATAAGTTAATTTTTAATTTTAAATAAAATTTATCACACCAGCGTGTGTGTAATTACTTCTAGCAAGGCATCCTTAATTGCAGTTGGTCAGCTCAGGATAACTAGTCGACTTAGAGTGAGTTTTGTATGAGCTTCAGGTTTCAATTAATATTGTCACATTTAAGTGCTAAATATGTGTTTGTTGTTTACCCTAACATTAACCAACTTAAATTTTCATTTAGGTAGTTAACAACAAACTATAGGTTTTGAAAGTAGATCATTTTACTGGAACATAGACTTAAAATAGTACATTTTGATATTGGAGAACTAGTTTGATTTTAAACTAGAAAGTTCTACCATATAAGTGATTTGTATGCTAAGGCAGGTGATGAAACACGTGATGAAAAAAAGCATAGTTTCATATTATTTTTATTGCTATTGAGAAAACTTATGTTCGAGTATCATGAGAATTGATTTGGTATGTATTAAGAAAAGTGTGTTAAACTATGAAGTTTTTATCTATATTTATGCTAGGCATTAACAAGAAATATTTATGGAATGATTAAAGATTTCTCAGTTGCACTAAACGTGCATAATAAACATAACTTTTTTGTATTCTTTATGGATCTACTTACTAAGGATAATCTGTTTGTGCTGTCATGAGATATATTTTTATAGATAGTATAGTTTTAATTAGTGATATGACATATAATATATGGACAGTTACGACAATGGGAAGAAGTTTAGAAGAAAAAATGGCTTGGAATTTACATAGCAAAGACTGAGTATAATATGATATGCCATTTTTAGCGGGTGTGTTATTAACAATTATCAATCAATATTTTTAGAGTTTAAAATGATATTTATTGTGAGACAATTAAGTACATTGGATATTGTTGGATATTTAGTATCTTCTATTATTAGGAATCTCTATTTTTATTTTCATATATTATTGATGTGTCATAATTGCTGTTTCTTTTTTTTTGTGTTGTGAAAAAACGACGATAATAAAACAAAAAATGGAACGAGAAAAATTGTACACAGAAAAAACACTAGCGTGACACACAGATTTACGTGATTCGACAAATTTGCCTACGTCCACGGAGCTGCAGAGGATTTTATTTCTTCGAGGAATTACACCGTTGAACACCTCGACGTTACAAAAAAATCTCTATTTTATTCTCCCTTCCCCTCTCTCTCATCCTCTCTTTCTCTCTTAGAAGACTTGACTTAGCCTGGCTTCTAACAAGCCATGCGAGGCTATTTATAGAAACTAGGAGAGCAGTATGTGAGAGGTAGGTGTGATGTGGTAGGTGACCGGTAGGTGAGAATGTATGTGAGCGGTAGGTGAGATTCTTAATTAGGAAGCTAATTAACAACAATTAGTTAAATTGCGGTGGTCCGGGTCTCCACATTACCCTACAATTCTCTCACTTGGAGACTGAGACACTGACTACATCACCTACTGACTGCATCACCTACTGATTGCATCATCTACTAGCTGTACCGACCTTTTCCTCAAACATGATAACCACTACCTCTGCAACTCAAAGCCCTAGTCTTCATGCTAGAAGATCAGCTGAAGTTGAACACAACTTCAGCTTCTTACGAGTAACACCGTCAGTTGACATATCACCGTCAACATAGCCTTGTACCACCTTTCCCGGGTTACTCTCACTACATGACCAATATCTTGCCCCTGCTGAATGCCCTTTTCAATAAGTACAACCTTGTCCCTCTTACTACAACCAAGCATAGTGTTCACCCGGTACACCCATTTGTTGTGCAATGCCTTCTTCCTTGGTGAAAGTTCTGTCAGCTCTCAAGTTTGATTCCCTGGGCGGGAATTTGTCTCCTCCTTCTTGGTCAGCTCCCACTTGCTCGGATTCTCATCTTGCAAGATTTATTCATTGCTCTGTGGTTCTCCACGATTTGTCTGTACAAGTTCTGGTTTTCCTGCCTTTGACGCTCTGTCACTTTAAATGAAATTGACATTCTTCTGCTTCCCCATAATGCACCTCTGAATCATGTGTCATCACTTGAGTAAATCTGTAGCCATATATAATGTGTCAGTTTTTTTACCCCGAGTCAATACTAATGCTCCATTGGTAACCTTACAGATGCTATCTGAGACACCACAAAATGACTATCCTCATTGCGCTGCCCAACAGAGATGAGATTTTTCTTCAACTCAGGAACGTGTTGATCTCTTGCAAAGTCCATTTGCTCTTGTTAGGGAGTGCAATATCAACGTCTCCTATCCCCACCTTGTCCAAAGCTTTTCCATTAGTCATATGTACATTCTCAAAGTCGCCTGCAACATACTTTTGCATCAACTCCTGATGGGAAGATGTATGGAAGGAATCCCCTAAATCCAACATCCAGTCATCAACAGAATTGTGAACTGCCAGCAATAGCGCATTCTGCATTTCTTTAATTACAACATTAACACTATCATTTTTCTTCTTCTTAGGATTCCTGCAGTTCCTTTTTATGTGGTCAGCCTTGCCACAATTCCAACAGGTTGTCTGCTGACCAGACTTTGATTTTGTTTTGTTTGAGTTCTTGTCTTGTGATCTCCCTCTGAAATCAACAATCAATGCCGAACTCGAACCTGAGGTCTCGCCAAAATCTTTCCTGCGCACCTCCTCAACCAATATCATCATATTTCAGTTTGGATTTACCTACAGAACAGCTAACTACCATACTCATGGCTTC